AAGCCCCTGAGGCCAGGAAAAGGAGGCCCCTCCTCCTCCCACTCCCACACACTGTGAACCCCCAGACCCCAGGGAGGAGGCTCCAGAAAGGCTGTCTGGGAAGTGGGGAGAATCTCTGCCTGACCCCTGACTCCAGCTGGGTATTGGGTCGAATCAGTGAGGACAGGAAACAGCTGAGTTGGGAGAACGCTTCAGCCAGAGCTTTGGCAGGGTTTTGGGGATTTTCCTGGCAGGACAGCTGTGCCCCGCTCCCACCCGCTGGGAGGGGCCCTGGAAGGGATGAGGATTGGGTCACACAGTTGATTCATCCGAGGAGGGAAACTCCCCACTTCTCTGATGTGCATACCCCAGGCACCGATGGGTAAACCTGAGGGCACCCAGCTGAGAAACCCACCAACCCCATCTTTTTTTGGTTCCTGACTTCCCAGCAGTACATTAAAAAATAAATAAAATAAAACAGGCTAGACAGAGCAATACAATCAGGCAGGGTGGCACGGCTTAGAGGGCAGCTTCCTGGGGAATAAAGCCAGAGATTGGAACCAGAATGAAGGCTGAACGAGGGGCACCTCAGACGTCCTTTCTCACCCATTTTATAGATGAGAAAACTGTGAGGCTCAAATAGTACGTGCAAACACATACAAGACGTGCTGTGTGCCAGGCAAACTCATTTCGGTCCTTACAGCCCTCCTTTTACTGACAAGGAAACTGAGGCAGAAAAGGGTTAAATAACTTGGCCAAAGTCAAGGCTAGAAATGCTCCAGCGGCCCCCACATCTCCCAAGAGTGCTTATACACACCTCTGTTGCAGGGAGCTCCATTCCTGGTCCCTGAGCAGCTCTGGCCCCTGGGGGCAGAGCCTCGCTGGGGTGAAGTCTGAATTGGTGTCTGGGGATCTTGCTCACTCTGGTCCCATCTCTGCTCACTGGGGACCCTAGAGGACAGACAGTCACTCAAAAGGAGAAAGCTGGCTCCTGCAGAAAAACAGCCAAACCCTCAAAGGCCAGGAGAGGGCAGCGAAGCATTCCCGCCCAAAATCTCTCCAGGGCTTTGACTCTTTTCCAAACCCCAATCCTTTCCTCCCGAGTCAGAGCTTCTCTTTCCTGTCTGCCCCCGCCCCCCACAACACACCACACACACATGCACACACACACGCACACGCACGCACGCACGCACAGGCGCACACGGAATCCAGGCTCCCTGCTGGCCCTGCTCCCTTCCGCCCTGAGCCAGGGGTCTGCTAGGTGTCGGAGGGGGGCTGAGAGCTGTGGTTCCATGTGGTGTGGCCAGGGACCCCACACAGATGAGCTCTGCCCCATTTGGCTCCCACTCACAGGCTGCATGACTCACCTCCTCACCCCCCATGACTCAGTTTACACCAGTGCCCAGAGGTCCTCCCAGCATGGGTGGGGCAGTTTATTGGCCCAGCCCGGGCCTGCCAGCCTTTCATCCCAGGATGAGCTTTTTATCCCACTCCTGGCCCGGCACAGGAGCTGGCACCCTTGGGGGAAGCAGGCCTGGCTCCTGGGAGCCTGGGGGATGGAGGTGGGGAGAAGTCCCGGGTCTGGGCAGTTATGGGAAGCCCAAGAACTGGGTGACAGGTTCCAACTGTCCTGGGCCTGGGTCTGCAGGAAGCAGAAGCCGCTCCAAGAGACTTAAGGGGCGAGGCTGGGCTAGCAGAGCCATCATGGGCACTGACAGCAGAGCCCTGGCTCTCCCTTCAGAGGAAATGGTCCACACAGCATGAAACATACCAGCGAGAAAACGCTCGCTGACCTTTATTAATCTCTTACTGTACCGGTCCCACGCTAAGCACTATCCATGCCTTATCTCATTTACTCCCCCAACAACCCTGAAAAGCAGGTACAATTATTATTTTATTTTTTTTTAAAAGATGACCGGTAAGGGGATCTCAACCCGTGGCTTGGTGTTGTCAGCACCACGCTCACCCAGTGAGCGAACCGGCCATCCCTATATAGGATCCGAACCCGTGGCCTTGGTGTTATCAGCACCACACTCTACCAAGTGAGCCACGGGCCGGCCTAGCAGGTACAATTATTATCATACCCTTTTTACAAATGAGGAAACTGGGGCATTGAGAAGCTAAGGAAGGGGACAGGTTACTCAGCCAGGAAGTGGCTGAGCTGGGACTCAAACCCAGGCCATTTGGCTCCAAAACTCATGTTGTTGACCCCTACCACCTCTCAGCTGTGGTGACTGGAGCAGAGATGAGGGCCCAATGGTCACTCCCCACCGTGGATCTCCATTGAAACCTCTGGTTTTAGGGACCACAGTATGTAAGCCACCGATCTGCAAGGAGGGGAAACTGAGGCTCCCAGATGGAAAGGGACTGACCTCAAGTCATGTAATAGATCAGAGACCCAGACAGGGTTAAGACCATGTCTTTGAGGCTCACCCAGCTGCCCTCGGCTGGAGAGGTGGTGGTGTGGGGAAGGGAGCACAGAGAAAGAGTGGGGAGGAGAGAGCCCTGCCCAACTCCCTGTAGCACTTGAGCCCAGCCCGTTTCCCTGTCTGGAGGCTTGGGGTCCTCATCTGCCTCGGGACAGAAGGATCCTCACAGCAGGGTGATGTCAAGCTCAAGGGACAGCAAAGGGACATGTGTGCATGGGTCAGCTGGCATTGGAGACATGGGAGGAAGGCAGCTCTGCACCCATGGTGATACCCAGGCCCTGGAAGCAGCGCCCTAGCCACACTGTCACTCCTTCCCCATCCTTAGCCCAGGCCCCACCAAATGGTTCTCTCTGACTCAGCAGGCCTGAATGGCCAAGCCCAGAAGACCTTCAATGTCCAGCAAGGGACTCCAGCTCTTCCTCCCAAACATCAGCCTCTGTAAACTGAGTACAGGCCACTTCCCTGTTCAAGCACCACTCAGGGCCCTCCTTGTCCCCTAGAAGTGAAGCTCCTCAGCCTGCTTTACCAGGGCACTGGCTTAGGCCTCACCCAGCCTCCCCTTCCAGCCCATTGCCCTAACGCACATCCCACCGCAGGCCCTGGACCACAGCTACTCCAGGCTCCCCCTCTGCACACCCATGGGCTTTTGTGACCACTGTCTCCACCCCAACCTCATATCCCCCTCTACCAGGAAGCCTTCTCCCACCCACCACCACCCCAGTTGGAAAGAATCCTCCCTTCTTAGGGGTTCCAGTCATGCCCCTGGCGCTCTCTGGCTCCTGCTCTCGGCACTGTCTCCCTAGTGCCAGGGCTATTTTCCTTAGTGTCTGACCACCTCTCTGAGCTATAAGCACCTTGGGGCCAGGACCAGGTTTTTAATGGTCCCTACCTCCCCTACATCTCGCTCTATTCTACTTTTAATTTGGTTAATTCAGGAGAATGAGTAAAGAAACGGGAACATCCATGCAGTGGGATACTACTCAGCCATGAAAAGTAATCAACTACCGCTACACAAAACAGCAAGGCTGAGCCTGGCAGACATAACAGTGAGAGACAGCAGCCAGACACAAAAGAGCGCATGCTGTATGAGTCCATTGATGTGAAATTCTAGAAGAGGTGAGGCCAATCAGTGGCGACAGAAAGGAGTTAACAGGGACTGGCTGGTTAGCTCAGTTGGTAGAACATAGTGCTGACGACACCAAGGTCAAGGGGTCAGATCCCTGGATCTGCCACCCAAAAAAAAAAAAAAAGAAAGAAAAGAAAAAAAATTCAAAATATAATCGTTTCCTGAACTTTTGGCTAAGATCAACTGTAGTATCTGTTCCTATTAGTTTAATATCTGGTATATTTTTTCGTTCGTTT